TCTACATCTTTCAATTTTTAATACAGATATTTTGAGTTTTTATGTATTTTTGCCTTGTCGCGAAGTGAGAACTGAGTTAATTGAATGAGAAATATATCTCTAATGAAATTCGAAGAAATAAGTTTAAATGAAAGGCGAAAAAAATGCGTATAATTTAATATTCCGCACAAGGAAGTCAGATTTTGGCTAATCTTTGGAATATGGTAACAGGTAGTTTGGCTACATTTTGGTAAGGCGATAAAGGTTACTAGCTAGGACTTTAGCAGTGTACATGGATAAAGTCAAGAGTGTGCGCAATGCCATTTTTGTGCAATTCTGGGATTTTTTTTTAAGTGAAAATAGGTCGACGTGTACATGGATACCGTGTATATGCAATTCTTAAAAACGCGGCAAGCAGTTTGCGATTCTGCACTTTCTCCCAATTTCGCACCTAATCTTCGTCATGATTAAGCACATTTGTTCCATAAAAGTTCTAGCATAAGCGTAATTCGGCTAGCAGATTGTTGGAAAAAAAGTTGAGTAAAAAAAAAAAAAAAACTAGCAGGTAGCTGTAGCAGGGTTGGTCGCCAAATTTTCGCCAAAAAATCGCGAAATTACCATAATCCAAAGATTAACCCAGATTTTTTTTAAAGGCGTTTATCATGATTAGGGGGAAATATGATTTACGCCAAATTAGTTCTCTGTTAGCTCTTATTTTTTCGTCGCTAATACAAGCGAAATACTGTCTTTTACTGTAGCCCTTACATCGAATAACAATGGGATCTTGTTGCATTTTAAGAATATTCTGACTAACTGCTCGTATGCAGATAGTACGTCTAGCTGTTTAAAATGTAAATTTATACCACGGATTCCAAAATTTTTTCTTGCATGAACCCCTTTTAAAGGAATGATTTTCTTCATCGGCCCCTTTACATTTTTCTCAAAAATATACAGTATACAACATGATCATAATGCAATTAATTGTACTTTACTTGAAGATAAGAATTACTACTTTGAATAAGAATATGGACAAAAGTTTTGAAAAATTGGTTTATTATATTTATTTTAAGTGTTTTTATTATTATTTTTAATTTTAGAAATATAAGCAAGTTTTCAGGGGGAAAATCATAAATTTTAATTGCACGAAAGTTCGATTTTAATTAATATTACGTCTGCGCTTGACGTATTGATGCAATTTTTATCATATTTGGTATAAGTTTGGTATTGAATTTTTAAAATTACCTCGTTCAAAAATATTCAAACTGTTTCTTGTTTTCCATTCTAGGTTTGCATTCTTCGTATTTTTTTACTGTGTTTTCTTCTGCTCTTGCATTTTACTCTTTTATGTTGCATTTATAGCGTATAAAATTTATATAGTATTTGAAAAAAGTATTTTTGATTTTAAAATACATATGACATAATTTTAGTGTACATTTTTCGTTATATAATAGTATATGATTACTTCCTTACTACATGATGTTTTATAGCAATAAACAATTTATTACCAATTTTATTATTATTATTTTTTGTAATCAATAGCATCTTCATTATGTCGATCAATTGCTGTTGTATATTCGATTATCAGCCCATGGTCATCGACCCCCTTTAAAATACCATCGACTCTCAAGTAGTGCTACAAAGGGTTCCACTGGGAACGTCTGTTCTAGATCTAAAACTTCCTTCATCATTCGAGATCTCCCAAATTTAATGACCTTTTTTGTCTTTTCAGATTTTTGAGCAAGCACCTTTTAATTCTCTTTTTATTAGTCTTTATTATTTTGATGAATTCTGCATATGCACGCATGCAGAGTAAATCGAAAGGACCTTTAAACACACATATGCCATACATACATCTGATTTAGGATAACTAACGCGTACTTTATTAAGGGTAATTAAACATTCATAACTAATTAAAGCTCATCAGAGGTAAAATGGGATACAGTAAAAACATTTGACTACATTAATATAACCAGTAAATTTTTCTCCGAGATTCTAAACTCTCTGACACATACTTTTAATTAAAATAACACCTGCTGCATATTTTTAGCATTCACTGAACACTGTATAGTTTTGACGTTAGAAATGTCTTTACTCGTGTCTCTACAGGATGTCTGGAACCTCACCTTGGATAATGTTACCATGTATTTATTATGCACGCGATCAGTGAAATGTTGCCGTGGCGCGAAGCATAATGTTGCGTGCCTACGGGTTCGTAATTGATTGAATGCACAAGTCCGAATAGGTTAATAACATTTATTCTTATCAGAACTCTGGAATTTTCCTCAGAGATATTCGTACAAGTGTTCACAATATCACAGAGTATAATCAGTAGTTATACTATTATGTTAGCGTATCTATTAGCATATCTGAACAGAAAGCTAAACCTGATATCGCAGTTCACGCGAAACTAAACAACTCGTGATAACAGTAACTAAGCAACTGACGGCAGATGACTCTGACTCTTCGCCTTAACCCTTTCCGGCACGTCGGAGTTTTAAAGTCGGAGTTTTGATGAAAAAAAAAAAAAAAAAAAAGGTAGGCAGTCTAATTAGGCCTAGAGGAGTACACAAGTAAAATTTTGTGAAGATAGCACTTATCGTTTAACCACTTACTATTTTGGGCACACTGATTGAATAGAGCTTCGAAAAGAGTGCTGAAACGAGCATTTTTGTCAATGAACTGACTGATGAGATGCGGAGAAACAAAGAATACAGACTCTCAGTTGTCCTAGATTATCGGTGAGCCCGGTCTGGGCCCACCTAGGGTTCGCCGTTTGATTTTAGGCAAGATTTCAAGGTAAAAATTTAAAACTAATATAGAATTAGGAGATTAGCATACAGCCAAAAAATAATATAGAAATTTCCTTTCAAACAATTCCTTTTATACCCTAAAAAAAATCTGGAAGATTTCTTTGAAAAATGAGGGCCTTAAAAAACTAAACATGGCTAAAATATATAGACTGGTTTGCGTTGAGCTGCTATCTACTATAAATAAAGAAGGTTCAGAGTAACCTATAAATCCTTTTTCATTCAATTTTTCTGTGCGTACAGAAGGAAATTTTTAGGTGCCGCAAAGGGTTAAATAGTCTTCAAGAGGCCGCGCGAGATATTTCTAGCAATTTCTGCTTCTCGAAATTACTGGAAAGCAATAAGAGGATGGAATTGCGGTTACAGTTAACGTAGCAGTCAATTTCATTTATTCAATTTCAACACAAATTACCGAGATATCCATTTACTCAATGTTAAATGCATGTACCCCTCTATTTTTAATTTTCCGGCATAGCTTTCTCTTGAAATTTGTCTCGCGCTGCATTGCACGAGGAAATACAACAATTTTAATTATAATTCTACTAAAATTATCTATCTAAATACAAAATTCGTAACAATAAGATCTTTAATTTATCTTCACAACAACCTGGAAAATAATGAGTTTCCAGAGAACTCCCAATCGCAATAGCTTAGAACTTTAATTTATCTTTCAATAAACGAACTGCCTAACAATTTAAATCTTTATTTGATTTCTTAATAATACATTTAATTGATACAATTTAAATAAAATTAATTTACAGTATAATCAACTGATAATTTTTAAGAACATTTGACTGCATTACAGTAATTTATGAAAGATATTTTTAACGTCACATGCAGGGTAATAATTATAAATGAATCATTGGGTTTTAAAAAAGTATTAAGAATTATTACACAAATAATGAATGGTACAAAAAAATAAGTGTTAAATATCCATGTTTACATCTCAGTTATAAAATTCGAGTTTGCCGCCAAATATCGGCACAGGCGGTAGCTTCTTCCCAAACTTCGTCTATACAGTTAAAAGCATTCTGTGTTTTATAATATGAGAGGTGGTTATTCGTTGTTACAGTACAGCATTCATTCCAGAGACAATATGGATACACATCCGCCCTGCCAACAAACCATTCAGCGAATGCTGTTATAGTTTAACGCTGTTTGCATGGCTTCCGCTATTTCCTGACCTCACAGCTTGTGATTTCTTTCCTTGGAGGAATATTAAAGACTTCGTTTACGTACTTCAGCTGCCAGGAACTTTGGCTGAGCTCAAGAATAACATTACTAATGCTTATGGCCGTTAGAAGGAAGGTGCTAATGCAGATGTGGATCGAACTCGAATACCGCATAAACGTGTGTTATGTAACCACAAGAAGCCACGCTGAAAATTTGTAATGGTATGAAACGAAACTTCGATGCTTAGCATTTATTTTCATGTTTTATTCCTCACGGATAATATTTATTGAAATACAGCGGTTTTAACCCGGGCCAACCAGCGGCCAAGCGCTAAAGTCGCTGAACACTGGTAGTTCGGTCCTGGTTTTGAATACCGGCGAACGGGATGGCTGCATGCGCGTTTTCGTGGTTTTCCTCACATGTAGCATGTATACGAGCTAGTTCCCTTAGAAAGTCTTCCACGAAGGCATCTCTTCCCTTATGCAGATAGCCCTCCAGTGCTTTGCCATAATTAAAAAACAAACAAAACATATCATATATCTCAAAATAAAACTGTTTAGCTTTTCTTTATACAAAACATACGGAAAAGAATTACATAGTGATTATATTATTTCTACACACTGAATAAGTAAATGTATGGTCCCCGAAATATTTAAAAAAAAATCTGAAAGTGTTCAGGTTTTCAACGTCGCCCAAAAGGGTTATTTTAAAGTCACATTTAAGTTTTATCGGTAGAAAGTATCCATACAGATCTTCCAGATGGGACAACGAAACATTTTTATAGGATACTAGAAGAATTGAACATGGGAACGTTATATATCTTCTGTCTATTGGAAAAGTGAAGAAATATTTAATGTTTTTATTAGATATATCATGAATTAAATGCATGTTTATTTAAAGCAATCAGATTAAAAAGTAAGAAATAATATTTTTAACAACTGCATCTAAAGATAAATATCTTACATTTTGCGAAATGGTAACAAACTTAAATAAAAGGTGAGACAATACATTTAAGGGAATCAACGCAAGAAAGACAACATGTGGTTTTAAATAATATTTTAATAATTGTCGAATAATTACAACTTAATTGCTTTCGCTCTTACCTAGAAAAATATATTCAGATATGTAACAAATACATGTTTCCGCTAAGTAATACAATTTTAAAAAAGTATTGTGCAATAACTGTTAGCTGCATGATGACTGCCGAAAATTTTCATTTGTAACTGCTTCATCATAAGCAAGTTATCAACAAATCACATTTCAATCAGAAATTCAGCATTGTTCACAATTTAATAAAGCTTCAACCGAGGCAAGCTTATCAGTACTTGTAAAATGGTACGAAAGGAGGATCCCGTTGATAACATCTGCCCATTAACCCTACTTTTAGCAAAGGCTCATCAGATTTTGATTCGAATTTTAATGTAACTCCTGATTTTTCCGTATAGTAATCCCATTCCTTTTTACATGCTAACCTAAATTTATTTCTAGACACTGTAGGGTAAACTGCAGGTGAAGTAAATCGTGCCGTCATTTTGACACTTTTAAAAACGGTTTTGGAAACAGAAGGTTGAATTGCGCATGCTTTGCCATCAAATGGATCGCATCTAATTAACATACAAGTTTCTTCACACCAGTGATAATAATTTTTAACGTTGTTGGTTCCATTGAAAACGGCTAAATAAAAGTCTTCCTGCATATCATTTGCGGAATATTTAACGGAGCAACAAAATTCATTGTTACAAGCTTCAACTTTACCAGCGGAGGTTTCTAATTTGATGAGAGTGTAATTTTCTGTTTGAGATTTGAAACACCTGTAATCGCGATAAAGATCTTTTGCCGGACCTACTTTGCTTTCGTAACAATGTTCTGGAAAATGTTTTCCGGTTTCTGTTGTTAAATAACTGCCGTCTTCTGTTATGACTGTAATCGAGCTCTTTACGGGTTTTTTAGAAGATTTTTTTATTTTAATATTGCCTATGAGTAACTTAGATTCCCCATCCGGTTCATAAGTGTAAACTACAGCGCCGGTTTCCTTCGAGAAAATTCCGCTGCCTAATGTTCCTAATCCTGGCGTTTGAGCATTAGCTGCAATAAAGTTGACACCATTAGCGAGAGCCCATGACTGTTGAAACTCTATAGCATTGAGAGGCAAAATATCGTCAAACCAATAAGTAGGGAATAAAAGTGTGTCAATTCCGTGTTCTTTTGCTAAAATAAAAGCTTCTTCAAAAACAGAATCAAAACAAACGATAAGTCCAAATTTACCGAAGTTCGTGTCAAATGTAATATATTCTGGTTCATCCGGTACATTTAAAACTTCAAAATAAGGATGCATTTTGTGATAGCGAGCAACAAGTTTGCCCTCTGGATTAAAAACAACATCCGTATTGTACATAAGGACACCATCCTCTGGGCACTTATCGGCACAGCTTTTAGTTTCACTTATGTCACATACGGAGTTGCAAGGATGAATGTCGCCCGCATTGGCGACGACGAAGATTTTGTTTCGCCGAGCCATGCAGCTGAGTGTGTGAAGTATGTAACGATTTTTATCGTTTTCGACACATGGATTAAACTCGACTTTCTTCGGGTCAGGAACGTGTTCCATGTATTTCCGTAGAAATTCTCTGCTGGGTTCATAAGGAAATAAACCAAATTCATTGAAAACAATTATGTCGGCTCCCTGGAAAAAGAAAAAATTGTATTATTGATAAAATTCTTTTCGCAAAGGTAAATACTGTTTAAGAGATTTCCTAACATTTCATTTCGAAAACACTTACTAGTTCTTTAAATGTTGAAAAAAAGATATTTTCAAAAAACTGTTTAGATAACATTTATCACCGAAGGTATGATTGAGCTTGATAAGTTTTTGGTTAATCTTCGGATTATGGTAACTTGGCGATTTTTTGGTGACCAACCCTGCTACAGCAACCTGCTAGTTTTTTTTTTTTTTTTTTTTTTTTTTTTTTTTTTTTTGACGCCATTTTGTTTTCACGAAGTAAAGGCTTTTTTTTTAACTCAAAATTTTTTTCCAACAATCTGCTAGCCGAATTACGCTTATGCTAGAACTTTTATGGAACAAAAGTGCTTAATCATGACGAAGATTAGGTGCGAAATTGGGAGAAAGTGCAGAATCGCCCACTGCTTGCCGCGTTTTTAAGAATTGCACATATATGGTATCCATGTACACGTCGACCTATTTTCACTTAAAAAATATCCCAGAATTGCACAAAAATGGCATTGCGCACACTCTTGACTTTATCCATGTACACTGTTAAAGTCCTAGCTAGTAACTTTTATCGCCTTACCAAAATGTCGCCAAACAACCTGTTTCCATATTCCAAAGATTAGCCAAGTTTCTTTTCAAGGCTGTTTTTTTTTTTTTTTAGTCCAAAGGGGCTTTGTCTCTGAAGGATTATTGTTTTCGTTTTGAGATTTTGCGTTGAATCATTATAAATGTCCGTTTCACTTTTCAAACTGTTGCCACCAAATGTTAGAGTCTATTATGTTTGAAGAATTTAAATGATGAAAAATTTGCATAAATGTATGTATATTTCTCGCATTGTGATAAAACAACGGTACATAGAGCCATCGAATTTTGAATGGCGTAATCCTCCTACGAATATGGGCATGTGGAAGATCAAATTTGAAATTTGGAATTTGTTTGATAATCGATTTCATATTTTGTAAAACTTTAACGAATTTTTAAGTAACAAACTCGACGATTTAAAATCGAGCAATAGCAACACTCTACGGGAAAAAAAAAAAAAAAAAAAAAAAAAAAAAAAAAAAAAAAAAAATTTATCTCCAGCGTTTGGACCTGTGTATTGGAAATCCTAAAGATATACTCATCATAAAAATTATTTTGGGACATTGCTGTTGAACTGAATTTTATGGTTTAAGTGCAAAGAACATGATATTTAATCACTAAAGGTAACACACAAAACATTAAAAAAACGGCCCTTTGAATGTAATTTAAAATCTGAAACCTTTCAGATTTTTTTTTTTCTTTTGAAGAAGTTGTAGATATTTCTGGAAATAATTTTGAAGCCTAAGTGTTTTCAGATGTTTCTAGAAGCATTTCAATAGCTTAATTTAATTTTTCAAGAGGAATATATTTCTTCGGATCCTTATATTGTCTGTTTTCCCCTCTTGTTCTTTCGTCTTTCTTGAAAAGCTGCATTCGTGCTGCCCAGCTATATAACACATTCAAAGATGTAAAGCCCTTAAAGACAATGAAGCCTTTCGCCCATTTGCGATCTTTCATCCTAAGCCTATATTCTGATATTCTTAAATTCAGCCACCTAGTCCCGAATTCAGATTAAAAACCGGATAATTTGCCGATTTTGTCTTTTAAATGCATATCAGAGACTACATAGTTCCGCAATATATTTCCTTAAAAATACTTGTTTTGTTAAGTTTATTCTAACCAAACGTTTTTAGAATTTCAGAATAACCTTTCCTTATTAGAATATATATTGTTAGAATTGAGAACATTAAAATAAACATACTGCTAAATGTGCTTCATGAGTGTGTGGAATTTTTGGACAAAAATTTATATTATGCGTGTGTGGAATGAGTATGTGGAAGTTTTTGACAAAAAATTTATATTAGCTGAAGTCGCAAAAAATTCAGATTTTTCACGTAATTTGACGTAAATAGAGATTACCATTGCGCAAACAAAAGTGCCGGATCACACAGAGAATTATATTATAGGTTTCCCATTTGTTTGTTCTTACTATTTATGAAAAACTTTATACAGTTCGCAGTGTTAAGAGCTATTATTCAAAAGCTTTATAGCATCGCACAAAATGTTAAATAAGTAAAAATGAACATACCTTATTTAAAAACTGCCATAAAACAACATATAACATTTGGTGGCAACAGTTTGAAAAGTGAAACGGACATTTATAGTGAACCAACGCAAAATCTCAAAACGAAAACAATTGTCCTTCAGGGACAAAGCTCCTTTGGACTAAAAAAAAAAGGTGGGGGGAGGACAGTTCTATATCTCCCGTTCTACAAGGCCGATTGACGAAATTCAGTTTGCGTTTTTCACGTCTCGAAAGCGCGACTTAGGACATGTATTAGATATAGCATTATTCTAATATAGGTATTTTGATACAAAATCGGACTTTTTTTGAAATAACATACACATTATTTTCCATATTTGCATTCTACGACTCCAACTACGCCAAACTACCATGTTTTGTAAAAAATCACACGAGTAGTTTTTAAACAATTAGCTCTCAAAATTTTAGCTCCTAAGTGTTAATTGAGTTTGGTATAAATTTATTAATCTCTCTTTTTTTTTATTCAATTTATTTGATTCTTCCTTTCGCATTTCGAAATTCAGGTTCATTCCAAATAAAATTCACTCATTCTTTATGATTTATTTTTAAAATTTGTATTTTTAAATAACTTTTATAAATTAAAAAAATTTTTTTCATTATAATCTATAAAATTTTTACCAACATCTTAAAGTAGACGTATTTCTAAGCATATCTGCAAAAAATTACAGTTTTTATTCAAAATTTCCAAAGTTATACGTGAATTTATATATTGGCGCGTTTTGAAATTTGGTATATTTGTTGAAAGCGATAAAACATCAAATGTGGTTTAGACACTTTGCTAAAGTTATTTGAAAGTAGGAATGATGTGACTTTTCTTCCGCTCATCCACAATGTAAAAAGGTAGGAACAAGGTGCCTTTTTTTCCGCTCCGGCATAATGGAAGGGAAAGGAAAATTGGTTGACGTATATTAAGAAGTTCGCCAAGTGGCAAACTAAAAACAGGCAAACTAAAAAAGGAAATTCTTGACGCAAACTAAAAAAATGCGCCAAGATAAATTTTTGAATTTCTTCGTAAAGTTCGCACCAAATTTTACAAAATTTAATATCTAGGTTTAATTTGAGTCGTAGAATCGAAATATGGGAAAAAAATGGTATGTTATTTCAGAGTCCGATTTTGTGTCAAAATACCTATGTTAGAACAATGCTATATATAAGTCTAATATATATTCTAAGTTGCGCTTTCGAGATATGAAAAAAGCAATTTGAATTTTGTAAATCGGCCCACGTCCTAGGGAGAGAGAAAATACCTTACATTCTTCCCCACTTAAAGGGCGACTGGGAAGGAAAGTCCCCAGTTGCCAAATGTTGGTGGTGAATCATCAAGGCATTTTATTTGGAGAAGAAAACGGGAAAAATGAGCAATGCCCTCGCCAGGACTCGACTTCTGGATCTTCAAATTACACCGATTATGCACTGCATAAGGAGAGGAAAAATAGGTTACAATATTACTTGTGTATTGCGATAGGAGTCAATGGGAAACAGAAGATTGTTAGCTATATACTTAATTAATTGAGATTTAGCCATTATTTTTAATGAATGATTAACATTATTTATGTATTCTAGATTATATAAGGTGATTCCAAATTCATGGTACAGAACAAAGATACGAATATTATTCACATAGGAACCTTAGGTCGCAATCTATTTATGTAGTCATAAATACAGGGTATCTCACTTCAACTGAAAGAAGATGTTTACAAAAACTATTAAAAATTCTGTCCACCAACAGCGATACATGCATGACAGCGTCAATGAAGCGACTGGCGTATACTGGCAAAGATGCCAGGTACTTCACGCACACATGCATCAGCTACTGATATTCGAGCAACGAGATCCTCAGCTGAGTCAATTGAGTCACATAAACAAGACTTCTCAGATGTCCGCAGAAAAAGCAATTGAGGCTCCATAAATCGGGAGATTGGGGTGACCAAGGGACTGGTCAACCACGGCCAATCCATCGCGCCCTAAAAGTAACATTCAGGTAATTGCGAACATCAGTGCTGAAGTTGGATGGAACCACATTCTATTACGAATTGAGATCGGAACATCTTGCAGTTGTTCTGGTAACACCTGTTCTAGAAACGTAAGATAACGTTGGCCATTGTGTCGCTGGGGCAGAAGGTATAGGTTAATTAAAACGTCTAGACGATACCCACCCACGCATTTATACTGATTCGTTGTTGAGACGCATGTGGTTGTGTTGCACTTGGATTCTCAGTTGCTTACACATGAGAACTGTGAGCATTAAATACACCCTCGCGGATAATCGTCGCCTCATCTGTAAACAGCACGTGAGCTGTGAATTCCGGCTGCAATGCAGATTGCTGCAAAAGCTACGGGCAGAATATCAGGCGCTGATGATAGCCTTGCGGATTCAAAGCTTGTACTTGCTGAAAATGGAAGAGGTGTAAATGATTTTTGTTTAACACTCTTCAAATCGTATGCTGACGCACACGGTTTGTGCAACAGATGTTGTACTTGACTGTGGTTTATCAGCCGCAATGTTCAAGTCAAGATGCTTTCTTCAAATCTTGGCCTGCGCACAGTTCGTCGTTGATTAGCATTCTTTCTGCTGACGTGGAAAGAATTTGTTTCACAAAGTTGACGATGTAACCGCTGAAACAATCCGTGATCAGACAATCGTCTATCCGAAAACATCATAGTTTTCTTTTTGTAAATGTACTTTAAGTTGTATTTATGACTAAATAAATGGATTGCGACCTGGGTTTCTTATGTGAATATTCTTCATATCTTTGTTCTGCACCTCCCAAGTTTTTACCATGAATTTTGAACCACCCTGCCTACAGTCATATTATGTATCGTTGCGGATAAAAACAGTCCAAACTGTTTCTAAATCCTGTGACATATCCTGTTTGACTTTCTGCTACTACTCCTGTTATCTCAGCATTTACTTCTAGCAGTTCTCGCAGAAATTTTGCTTCATTCTGATGGTTTGTGACAATAATATTCCCATCGTTCAACAATAAACAAACCCACTTTTTTTTTAGGCAGGATCGATGAATCCGAAACCGGTTATTCCACCTCTAATTAATCGGGAGTTGAGAGAGATTATAAGCGAATACAGAAGTCACTCTAAAGAAGCTTCTGTTAGATGTTTCTTCTTAACAGTCTCAAGAAAGGTTTATTCACTTTAGAGCATGGAAAAGCAATCGTGTTATAGGATCTAGAACATTCGTTTTCTCATGTTGCGAAGTAGGAACTCTGAAAGTTCTATAGAATCAAATGCATTTATCAAATTTCAGTCTTCGATTAATGACTGAGATTTTCGGTACTCTGCCGCAGTGTGAGACGTCTTCATCACTGACGAATACAAAATCAAAATATCAATCAACTTGAAAAAAACTTAAAATATTCTGTATCTTGTACGTCAAGTATTCAATTAATACTTAACTTTTTATGCAAGAATAAACAAGCACATCTATTTCCTTGATAAGTAAATTTGCTTTATATTTTAAGCAATATATTTACGTAAATTTCCTTTATATTTTTTATTTTGTTTTAATAAATGATACAGTTATAAGTAGTTATTCCGGACAATTTTGTGTCATTAAATGTCTAATATTTATTAGCAGTTGATACTTTAGTGGTAGATTTATTTCATATATCTATGTACGTATACCAGGGACAAATAAAAGTGAACCAGAAATTCCTCATTGGTGTAGTCCTACCACACTAGATATTAAGCTCCGCATGGAGGGTTGGTCCTCTAGAGCCGAAAGTCCTCTCGAGAGGCTGGTGGTAAGACAGTAGGCGTTGGAGACCCCTAAATCTGTCTCCTTAAAAATTAGGACAGAACTTGACAAAATCGTGCCGTCACTTATACATTTCCAAGACTTAGGTTAACGACAAGCGGACCGATTTCCTTCTTGGCCACGATGAATTCATAGATCTGATCTGAACTATGCTTAGATCGGGAAGATTAGTCCCAACAAGAGTGAAACACCAAGAAGAAAAAAATAGTAAATGACAAAGTATTACTAGGTCTTGCATTAGAGAACGATCGAGATTTATCACAAGTATAAAAACTGCGTTAGCGAAAATTTTAATTAGATGATCATGATGGCAGTTTATGAAAAGTAAATATTTTTTAACAATTTTTAACGTGATAGTAAAGGCACGTTTTTCAGTCGGAACGATGACCATAATCAGAGAGAAAAGGTTTCGACCTTTTAAAAAAGAACTAAAATCTTCAAAGTAACTCACATTCTTGGCCGCTAATGATGCTGCTTTCTCATAAAAGCGAAGGTTTGAAGATACTATTTCTCTGGGTGATAGTGTACTATTGCTTTGAGCTCTGGGGCGATGCTCAAATACAGCTGCCGTGAAGCAATCACCGCAATCACCAGCAATAACTGCTGGTAAAACAAATATCACACAAATCAGCAGCCCACTTCTGTACCCTAAATGGAAAGGAAGTGCATAAATAGTAAGTAAGTAAAAAAAAATGTTATAATTTTAAATGTAATATCTTGAACATAATGGTGTCAAACAATGAATTAAAAGCAGCACGCTGTTAAAACCTTTCAGAAGGTACATACACAAAAAGTTAATTATGTCCGGTTATGCTTCATTAACATTCACTGCAAGAAGTAGTTAATAAGTTGGTTGGAATTTTACCACATAATCTAGCTAAATTAATTGCCCTATATATATAAGTTTAGGACAAAGCCCTTTTTTTATGCAATGAATTAAATAAAAGATTACAGAAAATGATCAGAAAAACTTAAAAGTATAAAACAGCATTTTCAAATAGAATTTGAATAGTAAATAGTACAACAATCTCTTAAAAAGCATGTGATAATAGTAGAATAAAACCGGTTATATATATAAAAAAGGCGTGACGAAAGTAAAAATGTAAAACAATGATTAAAATATATGATGACTACATAAAATAATTAATATCTGATGATAACATTCACTTCTGAAAATGCATAACATAAGGCAATATAAAATGCAGAAGTAAAAACCAGTCACATAAACTAAAAATGAGAAAATTTACAGTTCTTTTATTGCGTTACTGGTATTTTCTCCCTCCTTTCTGCAAGCCTTCGCGGTGTAAAGGCACTTGGCGCGTACTCGAGAGGTCCAGATTCGAGTCCCGGTGAGAACATTGCTCATTTTTCATGTTTCCTGCTTCAAAAATTCTAATGACTCTACAGTGGCGCCGAACTAAAGACGGTGGATGATGACTCTCCGTCACCACACGAGAGAACTTTCGGCTAGCCATATATTTAGAGTGTCCTCAAGCCGCAAAGCCACTATACATTTACAAACATCCATGCCTTCTCCGGGATTCGAACCGGCCTTTCTTTACCGCAGTGGGCTTCAGAACCACTATACCGTCTGGACGGCTTCTTTAACCTTAAATGACTTTTTTTGTTTCTAGACTCCGCTTTATGTCTCTTCAGTCCTATTGCAGTCTTCTCTTACTTATATTCATTCGATGAAATTCTCTTCCTGGTATTAAGTCTAGCTTCTTCTGTTTGATTTGTGAATTGTTTGTTCTTTTGATTTTACTTAATTACCTAAATCAAATCTGTCTATTGGATATTGACTTCTATAAAAAAAAAATTTCCAAGTTTCCGGGTATCACAAAAAATGTTGTGAACATAATAGCTTTGTCCATTTGCTGCAGTTTTAGCCTAGATGGATTAATTGAAAAAAATTGAATTCTAAAAGTTGTGGATTTTCAGGCCAAATTACCTAGAAGAATAATATGTATGGTTATCACTGGTTCAAGAACTCATCGAAATTTAATATACCTCCTCATCTTAATTCAGCTTTTTTTCACACAAAGATTCAAAGATCCCTTCATATGCTTGACTTCATTCTATTCAATTCTGTTATTGTTGTTACTTATCTCAGTTGTATGACAGTAACATCACAACAAGCCCACGAAATTCATCGTGGCAAGCCAGTACCTCCTACATACAAAGCCACGGCACGGCTGACACTACGTCTATCTACAGACAGAATGGTTGCCACATGAAGCCACTTATCGCTGTTATGCCCTTAAGGCGAGAGAAAATGAAACGTAGTCCCGCCCCCTTGCAGAAGGCTTATATCATTTGGTTTTAAATAAATAAATATGTATATCCGATTTGCCCTTCATCGACTGCATTTCCTAATTTCAAATACGTATCTTAACTTTTCTTAAATAATTTTATACTTAAAATAATAAAACAGAAATTGATTTAACATACTTCAGATGGTGGTAATCAAATACATGTTTAAGATCTGGCTGTTGCTGGTTTGTTTTTTGAATATATATTTTACTAAATATCCTCTTCCTAAATATTGTTAAACTTATTGTACTAAAAGGCAACAATAATGCATAATGACAAGTTAACAGTTGATTAAAACTAAAAATCCCTAATCCTAAATTTATTAATCATGTTTTATTTTTGCAGATATCAGTTTTTAACAACATTTGCTATTTACACATATTTGTTTAGTAATTTTCCGGTTTTGATCTTGTTCACTTCACTGTTAGGATTGAATTTTCGTAACATATAATAAACCTGGAGTATGATTTGAATACTATTTTTGAGCAATATGAAAAATACTATTTTTGAGCATATATTTGTATTCATTCAGTGTTGATTTTCAATATAGGCGCAAAAAATTCCATACATTTAAGCTTTTTCAATTAGATTCCTATTTTTGAAGAATATGTAATTGCATCTTTCTCAATAACAAAAAAGGAAAATTGCAAAAATTCAACAAACTTTACACTTGTTTGGAATTCAAAATTCTCAAGTTTCATTCTTATCATTTATTGTCTGTAACATCCCTTTTGTTTAATATGTACATATATAATTTTCTTGTAACTAGTAAATTTTTGTTCCTAAAAATGATTTAATTGTAACTTATCTAAGAATTTTTTAGCAAATGATAAATATGAAGTTGTATAATTGATATGCACTTACTGGAATTTTTTATCAGGATAATCAGCAGAAACTTTTAAAACATCTAAATAGATCAAATGCCTTGAATTTTTAGAATTGTAAGGAATAAGGAGTTTAGTGTTAAGGCAAGATTTAAAATTTTCAGAATAATTTCAGATCTTTATTAAGAAAGTAGCACAACTAGGGTGTAAAACGCATTAAAAAAATACTTACTTTTTACCTGAAATTTTTCTACCGGTACAGTTATAACTAGAAATAATAGGAAATGACACCATACATTGTAGTGAGAAAAAGGGGAATAAATGTTTATTTAGGCAACTTCATGGCTACTTACTTTTTATTACAGTAAATCCCTTTGAGAAAAAATAACTTAGTACAAATGTATGAGGCCTTACAGCTGGGAAGAAATGAAAGTACTTTTTTAGTCTAGTTTATTTTTTTATAGAGTTATCAGATGCATTTTCCTCTGTATACGTACAACTATATTTCTAGAAATTTTATTTCTTTGTCAGAATTAAACATAGAATAAAATGAAACTAATATATTAGTAAATCTCTACACTATTAAAATCTGTGCGCGTCTGTTTGTTTGTTTGTAACCTCATCTTCTCCGAAACGGCTGGGTGTAGAGCTTAGCGGAGCATACCGTTGGATTCAGGACGTCCGTGGCTCGCCATTTTGGCCATTCGCATCTTCGTGCGACTTTAATTAGCAAAGATGGTATTTAGCCCGAAAAATGCACAAAAAATCGGTATCTCCGAAACTTACCGGCCGATTTCTTTGAAATTTTGAATTTTAAACCCGCGAGATGATGAAACGACGGATGGAATTGATTCTGCACTGATTTGCGAATTAGGAGCCTAATTAACAGGGTAATTAAAAACGCCCTAATACCCTTTTTCTGTCCTTCCAATATCTTTGTGGACAGGCTGGGATTCGAAGGCGACGGGTTTTGAGGGGTTGCAGCTGTATCCGTTTTCCAGCTGGAATCGTCAAGGCCATTAGCGGGGGACGAAATTAACGTAGTGGAGAATTTTTATTCATTATGCTAATTAATATTCTAATTTGCCAATCTCTCTAGAACAAAGAGCATCCTTCATTTGACTATCTATGAGTTGTAAATTTCTAAATTTGGAGCCGATCGCATTATTTGTTCCCAAGATATTAATTTTTCTTAATTAGAGAAATTGAGCCCAAAAATGCACAAAAAATCGGTAAATCTGGAACTTACCGGCCGATTTCTTTGAAATTTTGAATTTTAAACCCGCCAGGGGATAAAACGACTGATGGAATTGATTCCGCACTGATTTGCGAATTAGGAGCCTAATTCACGGGGTAATTAAAAACGCCCTAATACTCCTTTTTCTTTCCTTCCGATATCTTTGTGGACAGGCTGAGATTCGAAGGCGACGGGTTTTGAGGGTTTGCAGCTGTATCCGTTTTCCAGTTGAAATCGTCAAGGCCATTAGCGGGGGACGAAATTAACGTAGTGGAGAATTTTTATTCATTATGCTAATTAATCTTCTAATTTGCCAATCTCTCTGGAATAAAGACCAAACCTCTTTTCAATATTTGGCAATTATAAGATTGTAAATTGTGAGCCGATCGGACTTTCGGTTGCTGAGATACGTGTTTTTTGTGCATTTTTCTTAATTAGAGAAATTCAGCCGGAAAAATGCACAAAAATATGTAACTCTTGAAAGAATTAACCGAATTCGTTCAAATTTTGAATTTTGCACTTCCCGGATGCTCAAATAAAGGTTAGTGTTCGTTGTAAACTGTTTTGCTAATTAGGAGCCTAATTAGAAGATTCATTAAAAAAGCGCTACTACCTTATCTCCCCTTCCTAACTCTTGGTTGACGGCCTTCGATTCGAAAGCGACGGGTGTCGGAGAGGGGGAGATGGTTTCCGCACGACTTTTGGAATCGTCAAGGCCATTCGCCATGGGATGAAATTAAAGTAGTGGAGGATTTTTTATTCATTATGGCTAATTAATCTTCTAATTTGCCAATCTGTCTGGAACAAAGACCAAACCTCTTTTCAAAATTTGGCAATTATAAGATTGTAAATTGCGAGCCGATCGGACTGTCGGTTGCCGAGATACGTATTTTTTGTGCATTTTTCGAATAATTCGTGATTTTTGGATCTGAATAAGAAAAGCAACTTTGAGTAATACAAATTAATATGTCTAATAGCTTAAATCAGCGTGCTCATTTGTGTTACTGAGCTACGTAATCATTCACTGCTTTTGTTATTATATATAAATGCATTAATATAATGTCTCCGTTCGCATAAAGCTAATATTAAATTTTAATTGCAAAAAAATAATAATTAAGCTATTTATTTAAATTCTGATTAAATTTTTTTTCGTTCAGGGTTTTAAATTGAATTTCTGTTGCTCGGACATGGTATATGGAAAGTTTTCTTATTATAAATAATTATGATTGATTACTTACATTAATATATATTGATGCACCTTTGTGTGCGATTATGTTAAAGTTTATCAAAAGGAATTTTAATAACGAATCTACTGTTTGAATATAATACCCGAAAATTTTTGCGATTACACTTGGCAAAAAGCCTGAGCTGTAAAATCGCTGAACACTGGTAGTTCAGTCCAATTTTCGAATCTCGGCGAACGGGCTGGCTCCATAGGTGCTTTCGTAATCTTCCGTATGTGTAACGTGTATGCAGTATATTGTGGATGCATACGTAAATAAAGCGGGCGCAGCCCGCGCAAACTGCTAAACACTGGTAGTTCGGTCCAGCTTTCGAATAAAGGCGATCGGGCTGGCTGCATGGGTGTTTTTGTGATTTATCATGTATGCAGTATTTTCTGGACGTATACGCGAATAATGGGTGTTTTCGTGATTTTACACATGTGTATCCTGTATGCAGAATCTTCTGGAAGCCTACGTGAATAAAGCGGGCGCAGCCCGAGCAAAAGCGCTGAACTCTGGTAGTTCGGTCTAACTTTCGAATACCCGCGAAAGGGCTGGCTGCATGGGTGTTTTGTGATTTTAGGCATGTGTATTGTGTATGCAGTATCTAATAGACGGATACGTAAATAAAGCGGGCGCAGCCCGCTCAAATCCGCTGAACACTGGTAGTTCGGTCCATGTTTCGAATCCGAGAGAGCGGGCTGGCTGCATGGGTGTTTTCGTGATTTTCCGCATGTGTATCGTGTATGCAGTGTCTTCTGGATGCATATGTGAATAAAGCGGGCGCAGCCAGCACAAAACCAATGAACACTGGTAGTTCGGTCCAACTTTCGATCCCGGCGAACGGGCTGGCTCCATGGGTGTTTTCTTGCTTTTACGCATGTGTATCGTTTATGCAGTATCTTCTCCATACATAGGTGAACAAAGCGGACGCAGACTGCTCAAAATTGCTGAACACTGGTAGTTCGGTTCAACTTTCGAATAACGGCGAAATTACAATGGAAACTCATGAACATTGAACAATGAAAAGCGGGCTTCAGCCCGCTAGTATCTATAAAAATTAGTCATCTGGAATTGTATTTGACTACAAATTGTACGTACTTCCTTCTTACAGTTTAAAATTAATGTAACAAATACGTCTGTTTCAATTAAAATAAGATTAGAAAATTTCAAGATATTGATTTCAAAATATAAACGAAAGTAATATTAATTGACAAAGTATTTTATCTTCAAAAATGAATATTCTTTAGTTTATGATGAAAAAGCTTAGTATATTATATAACAGACCTTAGAGCTTTAGCACTTTTCTATGATAATTGCAAATATTTCCCTTTTTTTGTGTGTGTATGCGTGCAATCATTTTGGAATAGGTGGCAAAGATTTCACAACACAAATAGAAAAAGTACTTTTTTATTCAAAATATTATACACATTCTGCAGAAAATATTCATTTAAAAATGAATTACAAGTCTGAAAATATTAAGAAAAAATAGGTTAGTTTCACTCTCTTATTTTGTACCATAAACACATAACATATTTCATTTCTGCTACATACATAAACTATTTTTTTAATGTTTTCAATTTCCGTTGCTTAGTTAAATTATTGCTTAACAGATTAACTTTTTGCAGTAATTATTTAGAAAATATTTGTTGATGATTGTATGATATTTTTCAAAATAATCTGAGGGTTATGAAGTTTTGCACAGTCATTCAGTTCCAAAAAAAAATTTTCATGAAGTAAATTTAAAGTAATTTTACACACTGTATCTCGTGGATTAGTCGAAAATAAAAATTTTGCTCACATTCGTCTGAAATTAGTTTCTTCACAACAATAAAATTATATATAACAGCATGTAAAATATCAGGATGAGGATAGTGGAGAGACGACTTTCGTGACGTCAGAGCGTTCAAGCATGGGTATGTATGTAGGAGGTACTGGCACTGCTTGGCTTTGTATGTAGAAGGTATTGGCACTACTTGGCTTTGTATGTAGGAGGTACTGGCACTACTTGGCTTTGTATGTAGGAGGTACTGGGCAAGCAGTGCAAGATTACGCCTGTCGTGGGCAAGAGCCTTGAGCAGTATATAGATGACAGTACGACTTTGTTTAGCATTCCGCCCTCAATTTTGATAACGGGCATCCCGGGGAAGGGCACGGGTCCGAGGGTCTCCCCCCCACTTCCTCTACCATCAACCTCTTTTTTTTTTAACTTTTGGCTCGTCGCATATTTAGATTGCCCACCATGCCGCACAAACACTGTACATTTATAACCATCCATGCCTTCTTCGGGGTTTTAAACTGGATCCTTCGGTACGGCAAGTCAGCGTCGCTAACCTCTATCCCTGTTGGGCGGCTCTATTCTTGTCTTAAATTAAGAACGTTGTCTTTGGCTGAATACCTCTGCTCTGTCTTCAGAAGTTAAGCTATATTATCTTCAAACTAATTCGATAACACGTTCAACAGCTCTTGAATCAATGAGCATATATGTTGCTACATATTAAATAACGTATATGTTATTCTTGTGAATAAATTGGCTGTAAAATCAGCAGATTCCTTTTTTTCATAACAGAAATCCATCACCATTTAGTTATGCTGTTCAATTTGATGACAAATTAGCACTTTGTTGAGCTGAAGTAAGGTTCCTAATGCGAAAGAAACCTTTTATTCAGGCAACCTAGCTTCCTAGCAGCTTCGCTAGTTTTCCAGGTTCCTTTGCTTTTATAACTACTGCTACTAATTTTTCCCTCCCGAAGCTGGGTTTTAAAATTTCCTTAAATTTTTGGATGAAACATAGCTCGTGTACTTCTTCGTTGGATATCTTTCACTGTATTCTTTAATCAGGCTAAAGTGTCAAAATGTACAATTGTTTGTTTCTGTCCCTAAAAAAACGTAGAAAGAAGCGACCGATTTCCACCACAGGTGGAAAAAATAATAACTAAAAGAAATAGTGCAAACTAAATGCATGTGGTTTACTTAACGCTTCTTTACCTCGTTGTCTCATAAATTAAACTTGTATATTAAAAACGCTAACATTTAATCATATTTTAATTCAGTGAGACATTTATGTTTTTAATTGCTTTATTTTCAGTTGCCAAAATCTACTGTCTCATTTTCAAAGAATTAATGAAACGGCATTTAACATGACACCTATGGTACCATTACTGTCCTCATATAACAGCTCTGAAAAAGACAATCTTGGTCGATATTTAACATCCTAAAATCTAACCTCAGACTAAATGACTACTAATGGTGATAAAAGATTTCAAACCAAGTTTAAAAAGTTTCAGTAATCAAAACTTTAGATTTCAGAGCTAGTAATTTCATTTTACAGATGAATATCAACATCACTTAATTGTGATATAAATTCTCTCTCCATATTAAAATGCAGATGAGTACATTTAAGTTAAAGTTTGGTTTCTCCTGATTACAATTAAAATGCTTTCTCAATTTTTTTTTTTTTTTTTTTTTTTTTTTTCCAAATTCCAATGTGTCTCTTGTAAGTTAACGCATCCTAGATATCGAACTTTCGCAACTAGTACTGTAAAGTTTGTAGTCTAAGCTGATTCTTGTTACTATAGTATTTCCAACAATGCTTACACAGATTTACATTAACTCCTTAATGCGCCAATAAAAATTCCGAAAGTAGTCTTTTTTTCCGCCAATTTTTTATTCTTTATTTTGACTCAACCTCTTTTACTCCCTTTCTTTAATTCAACTCAAAACTGTAACAGATGTATTTTGTTGTATTCACATCTGACAAAATAAATAAATAAATAAATAAAAGTTCTTGAACTTATTTACTCGGGTGCGCGGAAATAATTTAATTCCTGCTTACCCGAGTTAATTCTTGAATGCATTGAAAGGTTAAGTTTACTTAAGCACAAGTTATTCAAATAAGCAACACTATATTGCATTATCCGGGTTTCATTTTAAAGTAACAGGCGAAAAAGAAATTGTATATTATACATTATTTTAATAATAAAAAAATATACTCCAGGTAGAAAGAATTGATCTATCTTTGCATTTTAAAAATAAGTGTTACTGAAAATTGCTCAGTCTGCAGATGAATTTAAATGCTTGTGCGTTTTTGAGATTTATTCAATCTACAGGTTAATTTTGAAGATATTTCATCCGAACAGTTTATATCCATTCTTAAAAGTCGCTTATCGTTCTGGGAAATTTTCCCTAAAATTACGAAATGACGATATCGACGTTTTATCACTTACACTGAAGGGTTCAGGGCAAACTAAATGCATGTAGTCTACTCGACGCTTCTTTCCTCGTTGTCTCAGAAATTAAACTTATATATTAAAAACACTAACATTTAATTATACTTTAATTCAATGAGCCTAGATCGATTAATTTAAAATATACGATTAAATAAATACGATATAAAAATGAAAATATATAAAATGAAAATAAATTAATATATACAATGAAATTGAAATGAAAAAAGTACGATTTTAATTAATTGAAAATATATGATTATAATAAAATCGATTAATCGATTAATTGAAAATATATACAGATTTTGAATAGCAGTGCAGTAAAATAAGATACTAACTTACACTTTCCAAAATTAGCCGAATTTGAGTTTCTAAAATTTGAGGCTATTAAAAAGTTGATTTTATTAACTTCATAACAGAATTCATCAACTTGATCATTCGTTCGCTTTCACTTTATTTTCCCCCATTTTCAGATGAAATCTTATAAGAAAGCATTTGCTTTATTCTTCGGTGAAAATTAATATTCTTTAGCTATGTAGTTAATCATAAAACCTAAAACTACTCATATTTCTAAACTAACGTTTTTATTGTTATTGATCTTATTCAGGTTTGCAGTTTAGGAAATTAAATGAAAAAACTCGATATTTGATACTTTTAATGAGAATTTTAGTTATTAATTATCAAACATATGGTATACATGAAACATAATAAATAATTATTTCTTAAAAACGTGTATTACTTACCCATAATGTTGCCTAAAAATGTTTGATTTCTCCTCTTTTTCACCTTTGTTTTATCTAATCTTGGTTCAGGGGGGACAAATGATAATGCTTAATTGTTTAACTACATTATTCAGAAAACAGAAAAAGATAAGATTAATATCTTCGGAAAATTTATCCGATGGGAAAAGTACAGAAAATTCCATTGGACTGCGTAATAAATTAATTACATGTACTGTTGTTGGCTGCTAGAATCTGCAAGTATACACTGCCAGCGAACTACACAGAATTTTAAACCCTCGTTCTAAAGAGTTTTCAATTATTCCCACTAGCAGTGATGATGCATTCTCAATATATGATGCTTAAATATGCCTTTATTAGCAACGCAAATCAGCTGAATGCAGTTGAGATCGTATTAATAGTTGGGTTATATTTAAACATATTTCGGAATATGATTTACGAATTATTTGAGGCAAGAATGTCGCAAATACAGTGTTTCAAAGATTATCTTACAAATATTAGATAGCCTACTCTTATAATTTACAATTTTAGAAACAAATAAAATAAGTTTCAAATATTAAATTCTTTAAATGTGTAAAAAATGTTTCATAATTTGGACTATTTCTCTTGCGTGTGGATCAAGGAAAAATAAACAAAGTTTAGAATAAATTTTTATGTATAATGATAACCAAGAAATTCATACACTGGAATCAAGCATATTGCATTGATTGAAATATGAAATATCTGTCCTAAAATGCTTCAGTTATTTCTTAATAAGTACGGAAAGGATTATTTTCTTTCCAATTAAAACTAACATCTCGGTTTCATAGCACACCAGGTATCCACATGAATAACTGCATTTAATGTTTATTCAAGTTTATTCCTTGCAGTATTAATGTTTTTATTATATATCATGTTCATATTAATGTATAATATTCCGTGTTAAACAAAAAAATATTTGTCTCTTATTACCGATTCCCATTGTCTTAAGTTAGTATTTTATGGAAAGCAGTCAAACAGAAGTGGCGTATGTAGTTAAGCCCCCCCCCGAAAAAAAAAAAAAAAAAAAAAAAAAGAAGAGCACCGGTAGTGTGTCCGGGGTTCTACTCCTAGTGGTTAAACTAGCTGACTGTATTACAGAATTCCTTATGTGCAGTATAAATATGAGTTAGATTTCTTCAAAAAGTTGTCTTCGAATGCAACCCAGAAACCAGGCTGATAAACTTAAAGGAATTTGCCATGATCTTACATACAGCACGTTTAGCTTAATGTTGTAACTTAGGCTTAATTCATTACGTACAGCGCGTTTTAGCTTTAATGTTGTAAATGCCTTTAGTGGAGATATTGACTAGATAATACATCTTTTCTTGTTTTGTGCCGAATACAGTCACATTTTAAATTTAAATAATAGCATACTTACTCATTTTTGATTGAAGATTAAAATTTTTTTGTAAATAAAAAGAAAACTGATCTGTCATTTCGTCGTTTATCTCTTACTTCTTAACTGCATCAAATATAATTCAAAAGTCAAACAACAAAAATCAGCGTTGTATTTACCAAATTTTCACAGGACTAGTTTCGATGGTTTTACCGAACCACCATCTTCAGCTGCAAAACCGCAAATGAACCAGATAGGAAATAATGATTAGATAAGATAAGAAAGCCTGGACAAGAATAAGCAAGTGGCGCCATCTGTTGGTGAAACCAGAACTAAAACATAATTTCTTTAAAGGCCGAAGGCAAATTTGGATTGGAATTAGGATCGTTAACTAGAACAGAAAGATTTTTATGAATGTGAAATGCCTCTAGAAAATCCAGTTCTCCAATGGAAGATGTTTTTTGAATAATTTTGGCAGCAGAAAAACTGAAAGTGTGGTTTTCGGACCAACAATGTTGAGCAACAGAAGACTTCTGTGTTTCCTTTTTTCTAACATATGCCTCATGTTCCTTGACGCGAAATTTTAAGGCTCTCTTAGTTCGACCAATGTAAATTAAACCACACTGGCAAGGAATCCTATAAATACACCAGGAATTCATATCCGGAATGGGGTCCTTGAGTATGGAACTCGGAATTTTATTGATGGGAGAATAAACAAACCGAAAGTTAAATTTCTGCAAAATATGTGCAACTTTATAGCTAATTGATGGAAAGAAGGGAATGACAACAGAATTTTTATAATCTCCTAAAACAAGAGTGTGCCTTTTAGTGTGTTGAGATGAGAATTTTTTAACTGCTTGATTAATAATGTTGGGTGGAAAGCCCCTGTCAATAGCTATTGCTTTTAAGTAATTTAGTTCTTCATCAAGGGCTAGTTTGGAGGAGCAAACTTGAAGAGCACGGAAAACATAGGAATAAAATGAAGCTAACTTTTTTCCACCCAACATTATTAATCAATCAGTTAAAAAATTCTCATCTCAACACACTAAAAGGCACACTCTTGTTTTAGGAGATTATAAAAATTCTGTTGTCATTCCCTTCTTTCCATCAATTAGCTATAAAGTTGCACATATTTTGCAGAAATTTAACTTTCGGGTTGTTTATTCTCCCATCAATAAAATTCCGAGTTCCATACTCAAGGACCCCATTCCGGATATGAATTCCTGGGGTATTTATAGGATTCCTTGCCAGTGTTTTTTAATTTACATTGGCCAAACTAAGAGAGCCTTAAAATTTCGCGTCAAGGAACATGAGGCATATGTTAGAAAAAAGGAAACACAGAAGTCTTCTGTTGCTCAACATTGTTGGTCCGAAAACCACACTTTCAGTTTTTCTGCTGCCAAAATTATTCAAAAAACATCTTCCATTGGAGAACTGGATTTTCTAGAGGCATTTCACATTCATAAAAATCTTTCTGTTCTAGTTAACGATCCTAATTCCATTCCAAATTTGCCTCCGGCCTTTAAAGAAAATTATGTTTTAGTTCTGGTTCGCCAACAGATGGCGCCACTTGCTTATTCTTGTCCAGGCTTTCTTATCTTATCTAATCATTATTTCCTATCTGGTTCATTTGCGGTTTTGCAGCTGAAGATGGTGGTTCGGTAAAACCATCGAAACTAGTCCTGTGAAAATTTGGTAAATATAACGCTGATTTTTGTTGTTTGACTTCTGAATTAGTATTTATTCGGCGTGTTATTGTGTCTTAATTGCATCAAATATACTTCAGAAAGTACGCATTAGAGTATCAGAAAAAGCTTTAGAGTTTTATTCCTCTGATCAGAGGCGGAGCTAGGTCTTTATTTAGAGGGGTTTTGTACACAAGCTGCAAATTCTCCAAGAGAATCATGTTAAGTATTTAATTTTTATTCCATAATTACTCGAATCTCTGTCTAAGAGAATAAACAGTGTGATTCAAATTTGAAGCTTTGTGAAAAAAACGCGCAAATGATACATAATGTGAGAGCAATGAAATTGTTAGTGGTTTTGAAACTGCAGAAGTAAGCGTTTCATCAAATGAAAAATTGAAACATAGTACAGATACAGATGACCAACGAGACTACAATACATCCTTTCAAACAATTGGATCGCTATTACCAAAAAAGTAAAAGAACCGATTAAATATTTCATTTTATATTTTACAAATAAATTACAGGTGACAAGTAAGAGCAGGTCCGGACACCCGGGCGGCTTGCATAGACTAATCGAGCATCGTCCGGATCCTGCACCTAAGCAGGAGTCTCCAGCGTTTTGTTCCTAAGAGCACATTCTTGAATATCTGGTGAACGGTGGGCACCATTTACTTTTTCAAAGTGAATTTATAGTTGAATAGAGTTAATAATACATGCACATAAAAAAAGAGATCGGTCGCATTTCACTTTGGTCTGGTATCTATGTTGGACGCAATTTCTATTTCACTAAAAATGAGAAAACTTTCACATCGAATTTTATTCAAAACTAAAACATTTGTACTGTGATCGCACAGCGGCGGGTACATGTTAAACGATCTGCGGGCACCATGATGCCCGTGGGCATAGGGTTGGGAACCCCTGATCTAAAGCTACACTCCGAAATCAAGACAGTACATGGCCATACAAGGGCAAAGTATCAGATTTTTCTGAATGCGGAATAAGCATGCTCCTGGTTACATCCCACACATTAATATGCATTGCATTGATCATTGCACTGTGCTTAAGGCACATTTGCAAAACTCACTGCCACACAAATAAATTGCTGGATAATTTACTAAAACAGACGCATTATTAAGCTACTACATAAAAAAGAAAGAAAGAGGCAGCTATCACACACATAAATCTAGCGCGGGTAGCTTGGCGTTGACAAACAGTAATTTCTAGCTTTTATACTTGTCATTCTAAACATGGGTTTAATTCCAGTACTAAATATACAAGAATATTGATTAAATGCTTCCAAAATTAATACATCTTTCTTCCCCCAAACATTCTGTGTAACGAAAAGTAATCTTTTAGATGTTGTATTTGAAGCTACTTTCGTTGAAGAACGATTAGAATTCGTATTCAAAAGGTGAGTGATGATTTGGAATACACAGATTCAAATTTTTCGTAATATTTTACGTCAGATCAGGCAATTTTTGTTGATGATTTGGTTGTTAAATTTAAAGGTACAGAGATTTTCATAATATAAAACAAACAAGCCTTTCGAATAGGTACACGAATCTGTGCTAAAAGGTTCAACAACTGGATATCGTTTTTCATTACTTCCCCATTTTGGCGCTGTTGGACGGAATTCCTAATGCACCAGAGTACAACATGCTTAGTGATACAAATTACACTAGCATATTATTAGCAGAAATGTTGTAAGTTTCATTTAAATTTTTAACTCGTTATTTTAAGTTAATAAAATTAGTGAATTTAGTGAAAGTAAAATTAGTGCAGTAAACAAAATTAGTAAATTTTCTATTTGTGATGCAATAAAAATAATCACGAATCGATTGAATGAAATTCGTACTGCACCTACACCCACAGACAAAATTTTCGTCTTCTTTAACATTTCAGAAGAGATTTTTTAGTCGGAATTTATCTAGTATAAATGGATACTACACGAATAGTTGAATGATTAGATGACCTGACATAAATAACTGCACCATAACCTTTCTCCGAAGCATCACAGAAACAGTGCGTTAAAATTTTAAAGACTCAGGGAGCAGAACATTT